CTTTTTTTTTTTTTTTTTTTTTTTTTTTTCTCATACAGGGATTGAACTCACAGCAAATTCTAATGCACTGGTCCTTAACAATTATGCACAGTGTTATTACCTAGATTTCTCTACAACTGTGCACTTAAACTTCTCTACATATCACCTGTTTTTGATAGGACAAAGGACATTGAACTTGTGCTACATGGGTTCATATTACTATGAACAGATAATTCAGTATTCATTTAAAAGATCAGTGGTCCAAAAAAACATAATTGAAAAAGATCAGTGTTCATAGTTATATATGTATGTATTTTGGAGGGTGGGGGTTGGTACCAGGGATCAAACGCGGGACCTTGCGCTTGGTGAGGCAGGCACAGTGTTGCTAAATCCCCAGCCTGATCAGTTATATTTGAAGAGCTGCTTTTAATTGTGTACAGCTGAGTGTGTAGATTGGCCGCTACACTGACCAAAGATATTCTCATCTCCCCTGCCATTACAGTAGAAGGTTGACACAAAGTGGTCCATTATTCCCACACCTGGGTACATGGCAATGTCTTCTACTCCTTAAAAGTTAGTACTGAGCGCCTATGGGGTGGATAACACCATACCAGGAGTTTGGGGTATAGGGAAAGTGGATGATTCCCTGCTGGCAGCTTTAACTTCTTTCCCTAACACCATATCCGGCTAGCTTGTTTTGTGGTCTTCTAGACCATGAAGGACATGAAAAATCAAACTAGACCATGACAGGACAGTAAGAAAAATCATACTAGATGCTATGAATGTATTATTCTGTTCCACCCTTTCTAGGATTTGGAAAAACTAAGAAATATAATATTTATGTAATTGTTTCACCATTCAGAACAACTGGTTCTTAAGATGATTCACAGGCCAGAACCATGGTGGACATTAAACTCTCCTTTATGGTAAATGAAAAATATGCATGACAAATGTCATTCTGAGCCCAAGCTTAAGTGAACAGGAAAGGGCATTCAATATTTCCATCACTGTACTGAGGAAGAACAAGGCCTATTTAATGAGCCAAGCCTCACAACCTCTCTGAAATGCTGCTGGAATAGGTTTTTCCAATTGAAATACAACTGACAGGATAAGTAAATTCACAGATCTACTGTTTTGTCCATTAAGGGAACAGCATAGGCACTGACAGGTAAAATATGTTCCCCATCAGTTCAGATGCAGACAAGGAGAGGGACTAAAATCTTTTCATTCTTAAAATGACTGCCTTGGGAATTTGGCTGTAGATCCAGGAGAAGCATAAGTAACAAACACAAGCATAAATTCCCAGGAGTACTTCCTAAGCCAGTTGGGCACAGAACAGGAGATGGCTATCATTACTGGAACACTTTCCAAACAATATATAGAAAAGAGGCTGCTTCCTTTAGGGCTTACTCAGGCACTGGCTGTGATACAAGCTCTCCTCATGTGTGGATTTCCCGGTGCTTATTTAGGGCAGAGCTTTTACTAAAGCACTTGCCACAATCGTGACATCTATAGGGCTTCTCTCCTGTATGGGTTCTGTGATGTGCACGTAAGTCAGAACTCTTACTGAAACTCTTCCCACAGTCAGGACACACATGGGGTCTCTCTCCCGTGTGTATCCGCCGGTGTGCACTTAAGTGAGAACTGTTATTGAAGCTTTTTCCACACTCTTCACACTGATAGGGCTTTTCTCCTGTATGGGTTCTCTGGTGAATGATAAGGCTCGAGCTCTGATTGAAGCATTTCCCGCACTCACCACACTGATAAGGTTTCTCTCCTGTGTGGATTCTCCTGTGAGTGATGAAATTTGAACTGTCACGGAATCTTTTCCCACAGTCAAGGCACTTGTAAGGCCTCTCTCCAGTGTGAATTCTTCGGTGTCTGATCAGGCGTGCACTCCGACTGAAGCTTTTTCCACAATCGGCGCATTTGTATGGATTTTCTACCTTATGGGATACCTGATCTATGAGACAGGAGTTTGGGCCAAACCTTTTGACACATCTGAGATATTTATAGGGTTTCTCTCCCAAGTATGGTCTCTGATGACTTAGGACTTTACCTAAACTCTCCTGTGAGAGGGTCAGTTTTCCTCTCTTCTCCCTTGGGGTCTTTTCCCACTGTCTTCCAGATCCATAGTCACTCTCATTGCCTTTACCTTGATTAAGATAATGGAAAATTTTCCTTTCAGATCTTGCAATTAATGTCCTGTGCAGTTGTACTTCCTCAGAAATATCTCGTTTTAGATTCTCTTCATTTTTAAATCCAGCCTCAAAACCTGACATAAGAATAGAATTTATAAAGTTACCCATTTCCTTAATTAACAGTGCCAGGACAAAGCAAACATATGAAAATATAAAAACGAAGGAACTTTTGATCCCAAATTACTGCCATTATTAAAATCCCAGAGTTTTACTCCCTACTTAGTAACCATCATATGCTTCTCATCTACCTAATTATATAGAGCAGGCTGATATATTCTTTTTTTTTGCAGTTCTGAGTATTGAACTCAGGACCTTGCACTTGAAAGGCAAGTGTGGTGCCACTCAGCTAAATCCCTGGTACTCTTTTAAATGTTCCAGGATCATCAGAAAATCCTTTCAGTATAGCAATGAAAACTCACTAGGTTTTAGAGAACACTATGGTTAGAAAAGACACTTTGTAATGTATTTTTGTATTTCCCAGGCTTATCACAGTGTTCTTGTTCATGTTCTTTGCCAGTAACTAAAGGGATTAGAAGGAAGTTTCCCAGGAAGACTTTTTTGGGAAAATCCAGAAAGAATTTTCATGAGTTTCCTTCTCCTCAAATTCCATATATGCTGGAAATAAAAACAAAAGTAGAAAAACATTTGGCATCTTTCAAAGAATAAAAGGTCTTCAGAGAGAAAAGCTATTAGGAAGCACCTAAGACATTTTCTTTGATTACAGAAAAATACTCACTATATGTTCTAAAAGCATCTAGTCTAATGCCCAAGTGTTCTGCTAGGACATTTTTTTCTTTTGGTATCGGGGATCAAACTCAGATCCTTGCCCTTGCGAGGCAGGCGGTGGAACCACTGAGCTAAATCCCTGGCCCTAAAACAATTTTTTTATATTCTAAGAACCAAATACCAGGCTTGTATAATCAAATTTTTTTCTTTGTACCAGGAATCAAACTCAGGACTTTGCACTTGCCAGGCAGGCACAACACCACTGAGCTACATCCTCAGCTCTATGATCAAATTATATTGTACCACTGAAGCCCAGTATTTTGTAAAATGAATAGTCACTAATAATCGGAGGGGGTTAGGGGTGACAAATATCAGGCTTCTTTGGACTTATACTATAAAAATTTACACTTAGATGTTTCAGATAAATTTTTGGATTCCAAATTTGCTGAACTAAATCTAGGAGCAAAACAATGCTGAGTGTCACTCTGTGTATGCACCCCTAAAGCAGTACCTCCACCCAGAAGCCTAGTCTTATTAGATTAGATTAACACAACCTTAACTATAGTGGTACCTCGGTTCACGAACTTAGTTCATTCCACAATTCCAGTCATGAACTGAATTGGTTGTGAACCGAATCAAATTTTCCCATAAGGGTCAATGTAAATAATGTTAACCCATTCTGAACCACATGTATTTTTTTAACCACAAAAATATGAAACAAAGTACAGTGCAGTACAGTACAGTATGAAGAGAGAGAGAACACTAACCTTGCTTGAGGCAACTTCTGGCGTGGAGGACAGGAAGGTGGGTGGGAAGGAGATTATTGTTTGGAGGGGAAGTCCCCCTCTATAAGGACTTTGAAATCTCTTTTAGGGGTTTCCCCTTTTCTTTGTGTCTTAGCAGCAGGGTCAGTTTTGACGAAAAATCTGTCTAATGTCATTTTTTCCTGTACTGCATAACCCTCTGGAAATGAGAGACCACATGATCATTAATCAGATTCACTCTACACATTACAGTTATGTTGGGGTGGTTGTTTCTCAAAAGAAATCCTGGTACTCATTCCATTTTTTCCGTAATGGGTTTTATCCTATCAGTCACTGCTAACCTCCTCCCTGTCTTCCTCTTCCTCAGTGGAAGGCTCCTCAACAAGCACCTTCTGCTGCTCACTCTGGAGTTCAGCAAATTCTTCCATCATCAGCTTCTCTATAGTCTTTGTGGTTTTCCTCTATGTCTGCACTGTTGATGTACAGACCCATACTCTCACGTGGACACAGTCCCCTCCACTACCTGTACATCACACCTTCAAAGTCATGTTCAGCAACATGTTCTGGCCACAGTGTCCTCCAGGCTGAGATTAAGGTCTGGCACATAATCGCTTCCCAGGCTTTGTCAATGAGGTTGATGCAGTGGAGGACACTGAAATGTTTTTCCCAGAACTCTTTCAGAGTCAAGGACATCTTTTCAGTGACATTAAAACACCTGGTGAAGAGCACCCTTGTGTACACTTTTTGAAGTTGCAGATCACTTGCTGGTCCATGGGCTGCAGAAAAGGAGTTGTATTGGGAAGAGCTACTGGGGTGTGGTGAGGGGAGTCATATACAGCATCTGTATCATCCACAAAGGCTGGAGGGTGTGCTGGGGCAGTGTCCATCAGAAGGCAGCACCTGTTAGGCAGTTGGATGTCAGAAAGATATTTCTTAATGGTAGGTATGAACATTTCATGCAGCCATCCCATGAAAAATTGCCTTGTGACGCAAGCTGTCACATTGGCCCTCCACATTACAGGCAGTCTGGCCTTGTTCACATTTTGTTCCTTCAGTGTATGAAGGGTCTGGGAATGGTACACCAGGAGTGGCTTAATCTTCAGATCGGCACTTGTGTTCACACAGCAAAAGAGTCGATCTGTCCTTCATGGTCTTGTGCCCCAGCAGTGCCTTTTCCTCCTGCGTGATACAGATTTTATTTGGCATCTCCTTCTAGAAGAGCTCATTTCACTGCAGTTGAATGCTCACTGAGCATTATATCCTTCGACCTTCATGAATTCTGTGAATTCTTTCTTACTGTAGGCTTCTGGCCTTGTCAGAACTGGAAGCGTCACCATGTCTTAGCATACTGTGGATGCCACTTCTCTTGCGGAATTTATCAAACCACCCTCTACTGGCTTTAAATTCATTACTTGTTGCACTTATAGAGGGGTTTTCTTGAAGTAAATCACTGTGCAATTTCCTGGCTTTTTCACAGATCATAGCTTCACTAACTCTATCACCTGCCAGCTGTTTCTCATTCAGCCATACTAACAAAAGTTTTTCCACCTCTTCCAGTGCTTGTGTCCTCTGCTTGGTTAACACTGTTACTCCTTTTGCTACATCAGCTCCTTTGATAGCATCTTTATTCTTCAAAATAGTTGAGATTGTTGACTTTGCCATCTTGTACTCTGAGGCCAGATCAGTCACACGAATACCATGCTCATGCTTTTCTACAATTTCCTTCTTCAATTCAATGGTTATTTTTTTCAAAACCTTCTTACCATTCTTGCTCTGTACATTCTTGTTACCTTCATTATTGTTCTGCATGTTCTTGTTACCTTCATTACTGCTCTGCACTTTCTTTTTACCACCACGCTTGCTCTGCACTTTCTTTGGAGCCATGCTGGATTGAATAATACTGTACAGTACTGTATGTGCTAAAAAGCAAACAAAAAAGCTTCACAGCAAGTGTGCACAGGTCTATCTGTGACTGTAACCTCGACTAAAGGAAGCCATGACCATGTATCAGAGCAGGGACGATGGCTGCGTTTGTGTTTGTGCAGGGAATATGGCCCAGTCGTGTTCGTCACCCAGTGTAGAACTCGCAAATGGGAGCAAAATTTTGCCAAACACTTCCGTTTGCAAACAAAATTGTTTGTGAACAGAAGCATTTGTGAACCAAGGTACTACTGTTATGTGAATATGTATTGTGAGCCTCCAAGAGAGCTATTTAGAATTTCCCAAACCTAAAAGTCATTTTTTTAGTAGAACATATTATCCCATGTGATTCTCCACGTAACATCCTTAAAGCATTCTGATGTAAAAGATGGAAGTAAAAACTATTATTTTTTGAATACCTATTTTATGTCCAGGCACCGCAATAGGTGCTTCACGCAGTTACCTCATACATCGTTCCTGTGACCCCCGTCTTATTTGTTTTTTTCTTTTTCTTTTTGCAGTGCTAGGGATCAAACCCAGGGCCTTGTACATGTTACAATTCTATCACTGAGTTTCATCTCCAGCCCAAGGTCTTAATATCTAAGCAAACCTGGGAGTATTCAGTTAAACAACACAGCCCAGATTCATATACATATACGTGGGCAGCCATGATGAAGTATTTTTTCATATGTAACAGCTGATATTTATGTTGTCAGTTCCCACAGAGACTTCAGACTCTGCAAAAGTATGTCTGAAGAAAAGGGCTGTCAGGCTTTCTTATGTGAATATAATCAACATATGGCTGATATACAAGGTGAAATCTGAAGAAAACATAAATGAGAACGAACTTTTAAAATGAACCCATGTCATGGGTACATGACATGCTACTTGGGAAATGTTAGTTTTCAGGTTTCCAAGTAAACTGGAATTCTAGCAGCTCACACATCTGTGACAGTTAATTTACAAAGTTGGCAGCTATCTCAGATTGATTGAGGCCAAAGTCACATGAATAATGTATCCCCACTGAGCTGCTTGGATAGGAGACATGGACAAGGGATAAGGTAGACAAGAATCCAAGGAAGCTGGGTAAGGAGGCCTATTCTCAATCTAATGGTTTTTCTCCTAAATCCTATTTCCTCCCTTTTGCTTCTTATCCCATAAGAAGGAAAGAATCTTACCACTGGGGCTTTGGAATAAGACTGGAGCACGGGTTAAGAAAGCCCCTGGGGGTAACTCAGTACCCTCTTCATTGTCATCAGAATCTTCCTCTAGAGCCTCTTCTGTGTCTGTAGCTTGCTTCTCAACTTCAGCGTCACTGGTCCCCCAGATAGGGCAAGAAGCTGTTTCCTCTTCCTGGCCATCACTGGATGGAGCAGCCGCTTGGGCACTCACCAAAGCATCCATTTCTTCAAAGAAGGGGCAAATCTCTTGTGCTTGGCCATTTTTGACCTTCCGGTAGCTGGTTTGTAGGCTTTTAAACTTGGTCCGACACTGCTCGGGGGTCCTGAAGAAGCCATATTCCCATAACCTCTCAGCCACTGCTCCATATAACTGGCTGTTGCGGTGACAGTTTCGGAGGGCTTCATAAAATTGAGTCTCACTAAGAATTGCAAGGTAAGTCTTGGTCTCTTCATAGCCCCAGTGTACACCTGCCACCAGGAAAGAATTTCAGCACCACTTAATCCACAGCTTTAGAGCCTCAATTCCCCAGTTTTATCACCTCCATCAAAAAAAAAAAAAAAAAAAAACTG